AGGGCCATGTGCCATAAATAGCAGCTGATGAACGGGAGGGAAGAAAAAGTAATATTTACCCGGAGCCCAACACAGGGATAAAGAGCAAATGTCCTCCTGCTCCTAACCAGGAAACTCTATGGCAATATAGCAATATTTTGTTTTGCATTTTAAGTTACAGGTTTCATCCTCACATCCTCAAAGCTTACAAAGAGTAGGTCTATTATTGAGGGCACTCTGTAAATGTTCTATACTGTTCTATTCTATACTGTTCCTACTTCCCCCTTAAAATTCACAACACCCATACACAAGGGTGGTCAAAACATAACAGGAGACAATTCCAAAGTGATTGTTTTATGATTTTCTATACAAGCCGGATATTATATAGGCATTCTTTTATTTATATAACACTCACAACTTCTTTTGTTAATAATATTGGCCTTTTTCAGATGAAACTAAGTGATTTTCCCAAGGTCATTTGGTAAAACAGCTCCAATTTGATCACTGGTGTCTCTGACTCTGAAGGCCAGTAGGCTTTCCCTAAACCAGTGGTTCCCAAAGTGTGGTCCCTGGACCACAGTGTCAGCATTACTTGGGAACTGTAAACACAAATTCTTGGGCCCCATTCCACCTACTAAATCTTTAAAATATTTTAAATCTTTACTATGTACTGGTTTAAACCTTCACATTCTGGGGTTGGGACCCAGCAAACAACTAAACAAGTCCCCCCAGTGATTCTTAGGCACAGTTGGATTTGAGAACCACGGGCATAAGCCACATAGCACAGCCTGCATGAAAACTATTGCTTATATGCACGGCAGAGAGTACTTGAGTCCTGTTGGAATCTTTTCTAATTTGCTTTGTTTTTATAAAGGTTTTTTAACAAACTTATGTTACTGATAAATGGTAATTTGATATACCACACAGGATCACATGCAGTAGGGCTAGAAGGTGGTCAGTCTGGGGGTGGAAACCCAGATCCACCACCTATTGTTATATAATCTTGGCAAATTATGTAACTTTTGTGAGTTTTGGATTTGTCTTATGTAAAAATGAAAATAAAAACGGTGAGATGATACATGAAAAGCACTTAACCCAATGCCTGAAATGTAACACTCAGCAAACATATTTTTCATTATGATTATCATCATTAAAGACAATAATGTTAGTAACATTATAATTAATTGCACAAGTAGTGAAGCTTATGTATTATGCATGCTGCAAAGCTCCCAAGATATTTCTCTACTTATAATTTTTATTATGAAATGACCTTAATTTTTCTAATTTCAAAATGAATTTACAGTTTATTTCAATTCAATAAACATTTTTGACTTCCCACAATGTAAAAGGTATTCTGTCACTTCAGGGTGTTTTTTAAGAAGTAATGATACTAGTTATCAATTTATATGTTAGGGAATGTATATCAATCCATTGAATACTTTTTAAGATTAAATACTCTAAATAATTACTCTGCATTAGTTTAAAGCTTTAAATTGTACCTTTAAACATTATTTGAAAAATAATTATCATGAAATTGAGAGGCTGTATTACTGTGGACACACACTTAATTTCAGGTTAAATTATTTATTGAAAGAAAACCCCAGATTGCCATGTTACGATCTCTGTGTAGTTAACTGTACAGTCTCAATAGTGTTTTAATACAGAGATTTTCAAATAAGAATCACCTTCAAAAATAACATATTCCTATACTCAGTGAAGCTTAGGTCAATTATTTCTTGTTTATTTGTAAAAATTAGTGAAAGAAATGAATTTCTGTCCCTTTTATTATGCTTTTGATACGTACAAAAGGACTATTCTCTTTTCTTTGGAGTGAAATTTTCAGGTCTCACAGCCTCCTCTCATAGCTCGTGTTTTCAGGATCTTTTTATCATTTGTGTTGTTCTCTACCAAACGCTTGGCAATTTATCTCTTCTGAAATGCAGCGTTCTGCTGAACTTAGTCACCAAGTCACAGCGTAACAAGACCTGAATGTAGCTCATGTGTTTTTATGCATGACATCACCATGACAAGTCAACACACTGTAGCATCTGGATATTTTAACAGGGATCAGAATGTCAGCCATTCAACATATCATCCAGAGTGACCCTTGAATCCTTCTCTCTGCTGCTACCATCTCTAGCTTTTCATTGCACTTTTTGGTTCTGTCACCCTTCCCTGCACCAACTTTCACACCCATTTCATTTTCCAGAATACAGTGTCACTGATTGGACCTCACTCCCCAACATATCAAGGTTGGGATGCATAGTGGCACAGCACCTCAAAGATTTGAAATCCTTGCTGCTTTTATGTTCTTTAGATTTATGTGTGTGTATGTGTGTGTGTGTGTGTGTGTGTGTGTGTATACACACACACACACACACACACACAGCATCTCCTGAAATATTTTACGAGTATACCACTATATTACCTTTGTTTTTTTAAAATGATTGTTAAGATTCCAGTTAAACAAAAGCAAGCCAACAAAGTGACTGGTCTGTTGCTTCCTGCACATTTAAAAGGAAATCTTGGCCTCCCCTTCTCTGACTCAAGAAAGTTTAACTCAGCACCAACTACAGGATTGCATTATTGTCTTATTAGTAAGATGTCATCCAAAAAAGACAGATCAAACCTCTGATCTTCACACGCAGGGAGGTCAGTGAGTATCCTGTACCCTGGCTGCAGGAGGTTGCCTGTGTATGCTGGGGCATGTCATCTGGCTGGCTGAGCATATCGTAAACAGAAATAGTTTCACTTAGCACGTTTACTTACCCAGTTACAAAACAGAGAAAAGCAGGAGAACATAAAAACAAGGAAGGAAATAACAAAAGTACCTTAAAGTGTTAGGCCTAAATGTAATTATTTTACCATGAATAAATGGCAGAGCTAACAAAACTGAAGTGAACTGACATCTTTTGTATGAAGTTTCATTTTTAAGGGAATTATGGAAGTGATCGATTGATGAAATTCACAAGTCAAATATTACTGTACTCATTAAACTAAACATCAATCCAGTGCCTCCTGTCTGCCTGGAAGCTGCCTCCACCCACCTTACATACTCAAACATAGTCTCCCCTGCCTCCAGTCCGGCCTTGTCCACCTAGCAGAGTCCTACTCACCCTTCATGAGCAGGAATGTGATTCTTCCAAGGCAGTGATCCCTCCCTTTGTGTTCATACCTTGTCTTGTGCTTAGTTCTTGCTATTTGTTGACAGAGCTATATCTTCTATTAATTTTGAACTCTGCTTCTTCTCTCTGCTTTCTGGCTACCACATGGTATTAAGAACTGTTTTAAAAATAGCTTTTTCTCTATAGCTGTATTTCTTAAATGTGGGAAGTGATATAAGTCTTGAATACTCTAGAGAAATAATAGTAATGCAATGGTGTAAGTACAATTGTAATAAAATGATATAAATATGTTAACATGGGTACATTCATTAAAGGGTTTAAAAAACTATCAGTTCTGAGAATAGGCATGTGTCTGTAGCAAGATAAAAACAAAAAACAAAAGGGAAGGCAGTAGAAATCCCAATCTTCAAATAATATATTTCACTCTTTTCTCTCATATGTATATATCTATACTCTTTTCTCTCATATGTATATATAATTATATATGTTAATAAAATTTTTGATATATTGATTTTGTGTAAATGTTTGTTTTCATAGCCTAATTATTTGTGTTTGAACTGAAGAAGGTAGTAGAAAATAGGGGAAAACTTTATATAACATTTTCCATGTATAATAGCAAGTCTTCTAAAATAGTTTTTAGAAGACTTAATAAAAATAATTATCATTAGTCAAAGTTTAAAAAAATGGGGATGCTTTAGTTTGAGAGAAAACTGGTGACAGATCTAATCACTGTCTTCATATATGATGGATCAATTGAGAGATGACAGTGATAAAATATTTTCCTTCTTAGCTTAGTATAAGACCAGAAACAATGAATTTACAGGACAAACCGGAAAATGCTAGAGAAGGTGAGATAGTATGACAAATTACTAAGTAATGCAGTGAAAGATTTCCCTCACAGATTTTTAGAGCAGGATAGCTACCCTTTGATCTAGAATCAGTGATGTACTAAATTAAAATCTAAAGAACCCTTGTCAGAACAAATAACACTTTATTCCCTTGTAGGTTACACTGTCCGCGGTTCTCTCTGCTCATGTGGAACAAGTCTCTCTCTCAGTTGCCCGTGGAGTCAACCCAGTTACTCATATAAGGGACAAGCCCAAGGTGGAATGTAAAATAAGATCATTTGAAGCAAATTGCCCCCTAGCTTCTCATCCTGCTGACCAGTCTCCTTACCACAGTGGCCAAAGTTGGGAAAGGAGTGGTTATAAATTGTCCGAAGTGTAGAAAGAAATGGAGCATAAAGGTCCTTGGAAATACAAAAACACCTAAAAAGGCTTAGTGAGAAGTTCATGATCTTTGATTTTTTTCATGTTTAATATTCTTTTCACTAACATTAACAACTGACATTTAGGATAATATTTTTTTATCAAAGGCAATTCTATTAATTTTAACCTCACAGTCTGCACTGAAATGCTACATTGTGAAATTCCAAGATAAGATATAAGTTTAAGGTCCTTGCCAAGGGTCACTAAAAGAGTAAAGATATCATTCATGACCTTTTGTTTTCAGATTTTAACATTAACATTTGTTATGCTCCTTTATGTCATATGCTTGCTGTGGATTTATGAATAAATACCACAACCTTTGGAAACAACCTTAGAATTTGGCCTAAATTTAATTGTTTTGTTCTCATGGGATAGCAAAGCTATCAAAATTCAAAATAAGCTAAATAAGGGCCAGGACTTAGAAAGTTAGTTTAAAACTGAAAACATTCCAAAGATAGGTGCATGTGGCTTTCATGCTGTATTGCCTTGCAATCTGTGAACCTGAAACAAAGTTTTACGTATGTTTTCCTTGTCTTGTTTTTCTCCAGTTGATAAATGGAGTGCATCCACTGAGAATCTGAAAGCAGTGTTAAATCATATCAGTGACACAGGATTTGGTTCCATTTACCTGTTCCTGTTGCTGGAAATCCAATCTGAAATAAGCGTGGATGCCTGTTGGTGACAATGCTTGTTGCCAAAACTGCACGCCAGCATTATCACTTCTCTGCGCAGTTCCCTGGGTATCACCAAAGGGGAAAAGAATTAAAAAGCAGTGTTAATATCTGGGGAGAAAGGGTCACTCATTATATAACAGTAGGTAAATAATTAGGAAAAATATGGAACTCAGATACGGAAATCCTGTTTTGGTGAGTGAGAGATTTTTAAAGCTTTAAATTTAAAGCTACCATCTCTAGCGTTTCATTGCACTTTTTGGTTGTGAATGAACAACCAACTATAAACAACTATAACAAATTATAGAAGTGTTAAAAGAATAGAGGCAGAGTAGAAGTTAAGCATACCAACATTCTTCTCTGGAAGCAGTGCTACAGTGAGGGGCATGGGTCCAGATCTCAATTATACCATAAAGGTGGATCTTAAATTAACACATGACAAGGAAACGCCTTTGTTCTCAGTACCAGGCAGTGCAACTGTGCTCAGTCCTCCCAGGAAAGGGAAATAAAATATGCAGAATGAAAGAAAGGTGGTCACACACTGCTAAAGTCACAATGGTACCAGTAGTATGTTATTGTACAGCTCTGGGGGGAAAATAGGTGGGCAAGAAAATAAAACAGTACTCATGTTGGTAGGATGCTTGAACAAGAGATCCATTAAAATTGTTTTTTGGCCATCCAAGCTTGATGTACGTTGTTGCGACTTGCTTTAAAATATATTCCTAAATGGGGGTAGGGGAAACAAAGATAGTATCAGTCTACCTCCCCACGTTATTAAAATTATATAATAAAATTTAACTATTTTCTAAATGTACCTATTTTAAAATAGCAGTAAAGTTATGGGCATGGTAATGCTCTTATTATGATTTTATTCAACTTAGTATTTCAAATATAGGAAACAAGGATAAATACAATTGCAAAGTGGAAGTTTACTCTTTACTTCCTGTTGAATGACTAATTTGTACTACTGAGTATTTTCAATGAAAATTTTTAGAGCAAAACAAGGAAATTGAAGAGTATTAATGACACCCATATAAACATATGTATAGTTTATGAAGATGAGCACCATATTTATGCATTTTATATCAATAGTGCATATTTAATGCAAAACTTTTAGGTAGGCCCATCCCAGAGCTTAGCATTGTTGAACCTGACATACACAGTATACTTTTCCTTAAAATATATGGTATTTAAAAGTCACCAATCCAGTTAATGATACCTTTAAATATCAGTGGCAATGTAAAATATGCTCTCCTCACTTTAACATGGTCCTTGAATTGTGTCAAGGGAATGAAAGCACTGAAATTACAGTAAAAGCAAGTCTTCACTTTACCTGAAATTGAAGTGTCTGACATGATATACTATTCTACAGTGCAAATATATACAAAAATGGATTTTACTTTCACAGAACTTTAATATTGCAGTGTCTCTGTGTTAGGGAGAAAAGGGAAGTGGAGTAAATATCTGTCTAGCAGATAAAAATTATACCATAACTGTAACGACACATTTCTTTGCATGTCTGTTGTAAAGAATTAGAAAAAACTAACAACGAACAATCAAGCCAGGATTACTTCAATTAAAAAAAAAAGATTAAAACAGAGGGTCTTTCAAGTTGGCTTAGGATAAGAAAGAAAGAAGCAACTTTGATGGCCATCAGACACTTTTGAGGGTGCTAATGAAGAGACTTCATGCCATGGCAATCTAGTGTCAAATAATTCCAAATGTGTAGGTTAATTAGCAGAGCCAGTATGTCATCAGACATAGGATGATTTTATAAGGTAGAGGGCAGACTCTTAAAATAACCGAAGGAAAATAAATAATGGCTTAAAGGTGATAGAAAGCACAGAGACATATTTTCATGTACAAAGCCTCCCTGGTGATAAGAAATATAGGAATCAAAAGTTCATTAGTAATACTTAATCCTAATCTTATTCAGAATGGCTTGCTGAATTGGATCAGGTGGCATCAGCAGTGCAATTTTGGCTTACCAGGTTTTGAGTTTAGGAAACCTGCTCAGGTAACATTTTGGGATGTTTGTCATGTCTTCCTGTCTGTTAGGATTATCTCTGTTTGCTCTTCTGTATCCCCTTGGACCCAATTATGAATGGGCTTCTGTCTCAGTGTTGATCTTATCCTTGTTAATTAAGGAAGTGAATTGAATTCACTATGCCCTTTTGGATAAAAATAATGACTACGAATCTTTACTGAACCTGCCTATATTCTGTTAAGATCTTTGGGATCCCTCTGCCCACGTTAAGTCCCTTTGTGAACACAGAGCCCTTTAACTCTTGGAAAGTCAGTTTGAACTTTAAGGATTTGCCATGTATATTTGTTCTTAAATTCTGAGGCATTTAAGCTTAATGACACTTTGAGGCCAGACTGAAAGCAGCTTGTATTAAATTTCTTCTCCAAGTAATTGTGGTCAATGTTGCGCAGGAAGTCAGGACGAAAATGAAAGCACAAATTAGAAAAGGAACTAAAAGAACTTAGTATCTATTACATACAGTAGATCAGGAGAAAATAAGTTTGTCATCAGAAAATAAGTAAGAAGAAAATATATCTTTTTACATTGAAGACGTTGTATTTTTCCATTCGGTCCAGTAATTTATCTAGAGGATAAAGGGCTCGGCTGGCAGCGTGCCAAGGAAGAAAATCCTTTTCCTCAGACAGGTATCTGATAATCTCCAGAGGAATATTCTGAGGCAAATAGCCAGCTCTGCACAGTCAAAAAAGTTCATGTTAACTGTATGCACAAAAGATAGATGATATGCAAAATTNATCTCCAGAGGAATATTCTGAGGCAAATAGCCAGCTCTGCACAGTCAAAAAAGTTCATGTTAACTGTATGCACAAAAGATAGATGATATGCAAAATTAAAGATCTTACTTATGTAAATAAAAGGCAGAAATCAAGATTCATCGAAGTATAAAGAAGCCAAACTCACTGCTATAAACATAAAGTTACTCATTTTGAAAATACAGTCCTACTTTGGATACCAATGCTCCTTAATATATACCAAGTTGGAGAGAGAAAATTCACATGAACACAAAAATATCAGAATGCATATTTTTAAAAAGGCAAGAATTATGGAATTTGAAAAAAAATCAACTCAGGGTATTTTTCCTTCACAGAAACTCTTCAGGGGTCACAAGTAATTGAAAATAATCAATTACTGAAATAAAATTTCAGTTTCTCAATGCATTCTCTTTACTTTTCATGTAGCTCTGTATAATGCTATTTAATACAGATTGTTTTCAAAAGGATAATTAAAGTGGCAATTCACAGTTTTGACTGCATCTATGTTACAATATAAGCATTTTTCAAAACTGCTTGTTTTATTTTTTAAAAATTGCTTTTTATAACACCTATGAAAATCATAGTTAGATTTTAATAGAGTACAAGCTATAAAAGTGTTCAAAGAATAGATTCTTCCCATATATTATTTTCCTTTCAAAATAGGTGCTGTGTCCTGTTGGGCAACAATGTCTGCTTCTTTGGAAAATCTGTAGCTTTTCCAAGTTATCTGAACACATGTTGTCCATATTTATAGAGGGTCTACCCAAAAAAAGGAGCCAAAGAGAAGAGTACATCTCTACTTTCCAGTAAATTGCATATAAAATCTTTGAAAAAAATCAAAGCAATAGAAATGTCAACAGTACATTAAGAGATGGTTTGGCCTTCATGTGTCTGATGTATACATATGGTGACTGTGTGTATTTTACTTGATTTGTTTATACATGAATAAAAAACCACATGCAGACTTTTAACACAGGGAATGGGTAAATATGAAAGCAACATATTATCTCCTGGTTATCTACTTTATCTACATTTCACACTACTATTTTGTAGCATCACAGAT